AATCCAAAAAAAGAATGCCCCTTAAATTGTTCAAACAGAAACACCACTAATGTTGCATTTATATGGGCAGAACACCAAAGTGCACAACACCTTGTAGAGTGTTGTGTGGGAATTCCCATGGGTTACCCCATAGAGTGAGTCCCACAAGCGCCCCACCACACATCTCAGCCGTGTATTGGGAATATCTCCCCATGACAAGTACCGGAGATCTTCGCAATGCACGTTGAGATGTGTATGTGGGGTGCGCTTTGTGGGACGTCATTCTGGACCTATTGATCTAATTGTCCGAAATAGAGGTGTAAATCAGGCTGAACCGGCCCGGCACGGCCCGGAATGATGGCACACAGGTCATGCCAGGCCAGGCCCGATATGATGGTCCATGCCGTGTTGGGCCTAGGGTTTTAGGCCCGTCGGCCAGGCCGGCACGGCACGGCTCATATATACTATTTATATATATTTTATATATAATATATTACATAAATTATAATTATATAATATATTAATAAAATAARCAATTGTTTTCAATTTTATTATACTAATTTATTTAATTATTGTATATATATGCAATTGTATACATCAAAATTCATACAAAATTATAATTTTAATTTTTTTTAGTTTTTTAAATAAATAGGCAAAAATAATTTTGGCCCGGTCCATGACCCAGCTTGGGCCAAGGCTTAGCCCACGTGCCAGCCCCACCCATGGCACGGCACGACATGGGCCCGCACGGGTTTGGGCCATGGGCCATGCCGGGCCGACCCCCAAACTATTCATTGGGGACGACAGCACAGCTCATGACAGCCCGATGGTCGTGCCATGCTGGCCCCGCACTGCCCACTGTACACCTCTAGCCGAAATAAGTTATTAGAATTTTTTTTCTGTGGTAATTTGATTTTAAAGGTACTACACCATAAATAAAGAAAAAGTCTAAACGGGTATGAACAAAAAATGGCATWAGGGTGTCAGGTTACCCTCAAGCATCAAGTACTTGTCACGAAGCTGATCATAAAGAAAGAGCTTGAAAATCACTTTGACCTCCCAATCAGAAGGGAGAGAACTTGTTTGTGCAACCGCCAAATACAGTGATAAATGATCCTTCACACCCTTGTTCTTGTTCCCCTTCGGATGGAGAGACAGTTTCCTGCAATAACAATAACAAATTAACAATAATCATAACTTCTTTATATAGATTTCCCCTTAAATTAGGGGGTTTCATAGTCCAATCCAGGCCTAGGGCCACAGTGCCACAGGGCCAACTTTGGCCTTGTCCTGTCCTCTGTCCCTGATCAACTCCATAGCTCAGTGGTTGAGCATTTTGACTTTAAGTTCAGATGGTATTTCTATGTGGGCAAGAGTCATGCTTCAAGAACAATGCTTGAATCATATTTTCACATTCCTTTTGGTTCTCAAACCATATTTGGTAATCATATATGATACATAGACTGGACTTGTAACAGGTGATAATTACATCAGTTGGAAGAAGTAATTTGTATTGAAGGGAGTAGAAGAGTTCATGATAGATAAAAAAAAGACATTAGTAAAAATCTAAAAATAGTAAGAAATGATTTAAGTACTAATAATTTAATGGTGGATATGTCTTTAAATAGAATGAATTGATGAAATGGGATTCATGGAGCTGACCCCATATAGTTGGGAGTCGGGACWGGGATAAGGCATGGATGATGATGAGACTGGACTATTTTCCCTGAATTAAAGTGTTTTAACTTCTATTATAGAAGCTGACTGAGCTCGATTTCATTTAAACAAAAGAAGTGCACGAGGAAGCAAATTAAACAAACCATTTGTAGCCTCCAACTTCAAAATCACAAGAGTTCCATTTATCTATTGAATTCTTGGAAAGGCTCGAAAATGACTGAATCTTGAAGGTGTAATGAATAGGCTTATCTTTCCTAAAGGTTCTTCTGGTTCCTGTAAATTTAGAATAAACAAGATGAGTAAGTTAATTCAAGAAATAACTAATACTACAAACCTGTGATGAATATATCTGTTTTTAGAGAGAGAGAGAGAGAACCATGTTGATTATCCATGAATTTGCAGAGCACAGTTGATAGAAAGCAGTCAAATTGTATTGCCTTCGCAAGGGAGATTTCCTTATTTTGTTAAACATAAATACTAAGCCATTTTGGTACTTTTATTCTTTCCCTACTTTGTTTTCTTCTTTTAATTTGGTAATATGCCTTTCTTACTTGTACCGTATGCTCAACTTCTTAACACCCGGGTAAGAAGATGCTTTTCTAGTGTTAAGATATACCTGATCAATAAAAACCTAATCGCACCTACTTCTGATTTGCTTTACTAATGAATTGATGCCAAGTTGGTAAGTTCTATGCCACTTTTTACCTACATAGGGTCTGTTTGGGAGGGTTAAGCTGAATATTCAGTTAAGCTGGTTCAGCTGCTTTGAAGGTCTCCAGATAATTTATTCAAAGAGGCTGAAGCAGATAACCTTTCAATTGAATGACTGACTAACAGCCAAATTAAGTCCTCCGATTTTTCACCAAACATAAGTATATAACTTAATAGCCGGGACCGTGCGATGCATGGGTTTTGTTGAATGAAACTTAAATAGTGCTATCTAAAGAGGCGGTCTCAATGACCGCCACTATAGTCTATTAAATCAAAGTAGAACTATAGATGAACATGAATTAAGTTGATCCAGAGCCAGGCTAGGTCATAATGATCATCTCTGACTATGTTTTGTTTGAAGGAAAATGCAAGGAAAGGAAGGAAAAGGTAGGAAAACCTATATAAACCTTGCATAGGTTACCTTGTCTTTCCCTTCCTTTCCCTATTTTTCCCTCAAACCAAACATAGCCTAAGTGGAAGGATCCTTATGAAATTTCCAATTGAGCTATTATTAGTTTTTCTATTTTAATTATTTGTATGCGAAATGCAATGGCTTGTTTTTATTATTTTTTTATAATTTTATGACAATTAACAAGTCTAGGAATGACAATGGGTCAGGGCAGGCAGGTCCAATTTTTGCATACCCCATCCATGACCCTGAACTCAAGTACCCCACTCTATCCTTGCCCCATACCCTAACGGGGCTAAAAATCCCAACCCCATCCCCATCCTTGCATAGAATGGACCAATGGGGATCCCAGAATTTGCCCTGCCCTACCTTGCCCCACTCCCCACCTTCTGGGTTCTACTTCATTTTCTTTTAATATATTATATATTATAAATTATGTTATGATTTTATTTTTTTTGCAAATTCTTATAAAAGTTCTAATATCATTATATATATCTTAAAGGGTATTACTGATGATTTGGTTTTTCAAATCAAATACTTTTAATCGGGTTAGGTTCATGGTTGGGAATAGGTTAGGGTGGATAAATACTACCCCAACCCCCATCTAGTCACTAGACCTGTTCATGGGTCGGGTGCCCTGATGGGCCGCCCCAGCCCCTGGATGGGCTTGAACAGGTATATGCGCCCGCGGGCTTAACCACGGGCAAAAAAGCCCGGCCCGCAATAAATTCGAGTCGGGCTCGGGATTTGCCAAAATAGCCCTGCCCGGCCTGACCTATAATTAAACCTAAAAACCCTAGTCGAATACCCCTCTTTTTTTCACCTCTTTGCCTCTTTCCCTTCTTTTTCCAGCCGAACCCTTCTTCTCCACATCCTCTTTCCCTTCTTTATATTCTTTTTTTTAATGTAAATAAATTCTGATTTATATTGATTATTGAATTCAGAATTTATATTGATTTTTTATTGTTTTTTAATGTAAATAAATTCTGATTTATATTGATTTTTGAATTCAGAATTTATATTGAATTTATATTCTTTTCTTAATGTAAATAAATTCTGATTTATATTGATTATTGAATTCAGAATTTATACTGAATTTATATTCTTTTTTAATGTAAATAAATTCTGATTTATATTGATTATTGAATAGGGAAAATTTCTAATTTTTTTATTAGGTCGGGCTTCGGGCTTGGGCTCAGCTTCGGGCTTTTTATCAGGGTCGGGTTCGGGCCCAAGTTGTAGGCCCGTTGGTCTGGCCGGGCTCGAGCTCGGGCCTAACATATTCCCATTAATGAAGAGTAAAAGCCTGGCCCGGCCCATGAACAGGTCTACTAGTCACCAAAATTTTGTGTTTCCCCAAACCTAGTCAATTATCTAAAAACTTGCTATGATTGGGGGTGGCGCAAGCTAGAAATTTTAAGAAATTTAAATAATTACTATTAACTATAATTTTTGCAAATAATTAAAGATAACTATTTTTTAAAATGGATAGAATTTATAACTACTTACTGATAATTACTATTAATTAGTAATTACTATTAACAGTAATTACTATTAATTAGTAATTACTGTTAATTACTAATAATTAGTAATTACTGTTAATTAGTTAAAGTTTTCAATAATTATTGTCAACAAAGAGATTCAGTAATTGAAATTATCTATAATTAATTACTACAATTATTGTTAAATAGTAATTTTTGAAAATACTTATTGAAAATCACTCTTAATTACTATTAATAAGTAACTATGGTTAATTAGTGGAAATTTTCAATAATTACTCTCAATAAAGTGATTAACAGGAATTGAAGATTTCAATAATTAATTACTGTTATTAATGAATCTTTTTGGTAATTTTCAAAAATTACAACTAATTTTTAATAATTAATAATAATAATTTAATTTTAAATAAAGAGAAAAAGTAGTGATCAATTTAAATAATTACTATTGACATTAATTTCTGAAAATAATTAATGATAACTAATTTTTGAAAATTATTAAAGTTTACAAATAATTACTATAATTACTATTAATAAGGACTTAATGTTAATTTGTTGAAATTTCCATTAATTATTTCTATATGATTACTGTCAATAAAGAGATTAACAATCATTGAAATTTTCAATAATTAATTATTATTAATTAGTTGAAAATTATTGAATTATTGAAAAACATAGTAACTATTGTAATTAATTAATTAGTGAAAAATTAAACTAATTATTAACAGTAACTAATTAATCATAGTGCTAACAATAATTAAGTTCTTTTCAATTATTACGGATATTAACAACAATTAATTAAAATCATATTATTAATAGTAATTAATGACAAGGTGGCAACTGGTTGGTTGGTTGGTTGGTAAGGCCTCCTGCTGGTTGTAGAGGTGGCTTGGGATCAAATCCCACCCACCTGCACCACGGTTTGGGGATGGGCTACCCCCGAGGTGTCAGTGGTCGGGTTAAAAATAAATCCAACTTAACCTGATCCTATAGGAATGGGTTCGGGGTAGGTTTTCTATATATAAGATTGGGTTAAGGTTCGGGTTAGTGTCGGGTTTTGTTACTTCAACCCATCGGGTCATAATATGAGGGTATTATTGTAATTTGATTGTTTCTATCACCATAAGGCCCATAACTCAGTTTTAGGTTGATGTTTTCCCTTGTTTTGCTTTCAAGATTCTCTATTAGAGAACACGAGAAAAATAGAATGGAACAAAGGATTTTCTTCCTATTCCCCTTCATTTTCTCTTATCCTCCTCCTTTTCTTTCTCTTTTTTTTTTATTTTCTTCTTCTTCTTCAATGGTGCATGATCTGGCGTGCTCCTAGTTGGATGGTAGTTCGGATGTCGGACTGCTTATGTGGTCGATCGAACTGCAAGAGCACACGATTAGAGGATCTGGAGTACTTTATCCAGTGTGGGCACTCCGATGCTTAAGTTAGCGAAGAATGACTGCGAGCTTAAAAGCTTTGTGAGTAAGAGAGTAAGAGAACTAGAGAGCTAAATCACGTGTATCTTATAAGGTTGGAGATGAAGCCCTTATATAGGCGAGCTGCCGTAAGCCTCACGAAACACATCCGAGATCCCCGACCCACATTACCCGAAGTCCATCTCGGATGTTAGACTGCTTATACACCATTATTCTTGAAAACATTCCTTTGAAGTTTTTGACAATCATAAAAACATTCCTTGAAGTTTTCCTTTAACAAAAAACTTCCTTTGTAGTTTTGAAAAAAAATATGCAATTAACTCCCTTCTATTATTATCGCAATAATGGAGACTTTGAAGTTATGAAAGTGCCCTTACTATTTGTTAGGGCATCTTTCAACATAATTTAAAATGCTAGATTTATCCTTCTAAACTTCACTTCACCTAACAAGTTTATAAAGTAAAGTTACTTTGCAATTTTCAATTAGACCCCAAGAATTTTTTAGTGAAAAGTTAAAAATTCTTTTTGGGGTATTTTAGTATATCTCCATTGAATTGATAGCTTAGGGGTACTTAGAGGTACTTTAGTATATCTCCTAAGTTAAAAACTTAGGGTACTTTAAGACATTATATAAACAATAGGGATAGAGTTAGTCAATTAGATAAAAAAGTAAGAGCAGTTTAAGAAATTTTCTCTTTTAAAAAAGAAAAACTAATGCATTAGGTCAATATTTTCTGTTTGGGAAAAAAAATAAGGGAGGTAATTGTAGGCATTTCTAATTAAAACTATCACAGGGGTTTTTATTAAGGTTGCATTTGTTTGAGGTGTCAATTTAAATTTTACACCATGGAAAAAATGAACCGATTTAGTGATCAGCGGAAATTAAAACCGATTGATTTTGAAAATTTAGACCTACCTTGTTTGGATGTCAAGGTGTAAATTCAGTGAAATGGTGCAAAGGAGGAGAAGACGATCTATAGAGGAGGAGGGAAGGAGGGGAAGAAGAAGAAGAAAAAGAAAAAGAAAAAGGAGGAGGAGAAGAGAGAAAGAGTGAACAAAAGAGAAAGAAGAAGAAGAAGAAGAGAAAAGGGGCCAACTGGACTACCTTGTTCTAGGTCCTCTCCGACTCTCCCCCTTGCAGCGGTAGTGATGGAAAGAGAAAAAAAGGGGGGGAAGAGGAAGAAGAAGAGAGAAGGAGAAGAGAGAGAGAGAAAGAGATCACTCACAACGGAGCCAGCCGCAGTCAGAGGGGCCGACTAGACTAGCACTTTTTCTTCCGTTTGGATCCTCTCCGGCTCTCCCTTTGAAGGTGGGTTTAGATCTGCCACTAGTTGCAGCGGCGGTGACAAAAAGAGAAAAAAAAAGGGGGAAGAAGAAGAAGAGAGAAGGAGAAGAGAGAGGAAGAAAGAGTGGTTAATTTTGCATTGATAATTTTGGCGTATATATTACATCGATTATCGATGTAAATAAAATTCAAAATGAAATTTTACACCAATTTTTGGTGTAAAATTACATGTTTACCCCGATTCGATTTTCCACCCCGAACAAACGTAGCCTAAAGTGAAACTTAGGGGACATTTTTACGATTGTTTGAAACCTTAGGGAAGGTTTTTATATTTTCCTCTAACTTTTATGACATGCACCAAAACAAAGGCAAGTATTTGGAAAATTTCCGATCAGTATCCTATACTTTGGCTCGAGTGACAATTTGATCCTCAAACTTTAAAATGCAACAATCCAGTACCCAAATTTTCAATTTGCGACAATCCGGTACCCGGCGTTAATTCATCGTTAGTCAGTGCATAAAAAATACATAAATACCCATCTCACTTTCGATAAATGAGTCTGAGTCATTTTTGAAATGATAATAATGACCTCCCCTACAATAACCTTTCTATACGAGTGGGAACCACTGTTCACTGCTCTAATGAAGACCATAGTTCTCCCCGTCTGTGTTGATAATCGGAATATGCCACCGAAAAAGCTCAAATCAAGAGGAAAACAGTGTTGAAGAGCATCATACGAAGATTTTCAACATTTTATTGGGAAAATATCTCTGGAACATAAAGCATTTTCCGCCATTAGAAGTGTTTTTAATCCCACCTTAGTCTGAGAAGAGAACGCTAGTTGCTTGTGCCGAAGAAGACAAACAAGGTTTGATTTTTTTTTTTTTTTTCTTGTTGAACTACGAAAATTCAAAAGAACCCATGATTGACCTAGATTTATATCCTGAACTACGAAATGCACAATTAAGAAAATTGACCCAATCCAACAGATAATCAAAAGATTCAAAACCCAAGTAATCTCTCACCCGAAACTAACCAAATTAGAGATCATCATGTAACTAATAAATAAAAAAAATAAAAAAAAGTAAACATATAACCAGTCATAAAATGAAATCATTTTTTATCAATTAAAATCAACACATTTCAACACGAAGCTTTTATCGTGAACAGTAAAGGAAAAGCACTTAAGTCAGATCCTGTACCTTCAATCCCAGAATGAAAAATTCCCAAGCCTAAAACCAGTAAACATAGTTGTTAAGAGGGGTTAGATCATAGGCATTCAGTAAGACCTAACTCCCACAATTCCTGTTGTTGCCTTCTGGAGTGGTCGAGTTCAACGCATTCGCAATTCCACCCATAAATTTCTTTTCTGCAACTTGTCAAATGAGAAAATCAAAAAAGCTCGGCATATCAAGAACCCAAAAAGCCCTTATCACCTATCCTGCTATCCATTCCTAGAACCCGGAAGAGATGCTAAGAAAGAAGAGAACCGCAAGCAACAACCAAGGTAACGAACCGAACGGAGCTCCCATGACAGGGAAAACGGAATTTTATTTATGGAGGAAAGTAAAGTGTTCAAAACAATACCAATATCGTTTGTGATGGAGGGTGATTTGGCCCGACCTCATAGCATGGGTACGCGTGGACATGACCTTGTTCAAGCGATGACTCAGCGTAACAGCACAGCAACCACAACCGCAACTCGGTGGGAACGGCCCACCGAGTTGGGCCTGGCATCGGCATCTCGGTGAGATAAGCTACTCGTTGAGATGCCGCCAAGCGTCTGCCCCTCACCGAGGTTGAGACGCTCCGAGCTACCTCCGAGCTCGGAGCCCCCTAACCTTTCCTAATGCCCGAGCTCCTCCCATTGAGTTTTGGGCCACTCTCAAACGGAAACACCGCAAGGTAGAGACACCTCAGGGCCAGATAGTTCGGTGTGACCTGCCACAGGTAGCTCGCCACTTGCAAGGTAGTTCGGCACGAGGTACCTCGCAGTAGGACAGTTCGGCATATCGCAGGAAGGCCTCCTGCCCGACCTCCGTACCTGACAAACCTGTAGACAGCAACCACGTCCCTCGTCAGACAGTGTCGTGCCCGCCACCTTTTGGAGGGTGTCTTACATCTGATAGGTACGTACCCTACAACGACGGCCCCGCACGTGCCACCTCAGCCTTGGTAGTAACGGCTGCGACAGAGCAGCAATGACGGTTATGCCAGCCTTGTCAGGGGCTAATGGGCCTGATTCAACAGAGTTTTGTTATAAACCCGATCCCAAAAGGATAGAGGTAACTTCCTAATACTTGCGCTATCTACACTCTTAGCTTTCTTCCTCTCTTTGCATCTCTCACAGAACTCTAATTTAAGCATCGGAGTGTTCCCGTCGGGTAAGCCCCCGGGGATTCTTCATCTTCTCCGTCTCAGGTAACCTTCAGGAGCCACGCGAGTGCCAGATAAGAATGACCGGATTGCGCATCATCAGTTTGTTTCTCTTTCTTTCTTCCCTTGTATGGGAGTTTTTCTTCCTTCAACCTCTGCCTTTCCTTCAACCCAATTTCAAGAGAAAGGGACAGAATGGAATAACTTCTTACCACCTACGCATGCTCTGAATGAAGAATGGTTGGTCATGCCACCTCTCCTCTGTTGTTCCCAAATTGAAGAGAAAGAGGAATAGGGTAAAAAGAAAGGAAATGGGTAAATGGTCCGAATATTATGATAAAGGTTGGTTTTGGCATTATAAAATTATGTAAATTGTACCTGATCTCACGTGATGACCTTGGCTGACAATGAATTAACGCCCAAGCCCAGTACCAAATTGTTGCAAATTGAAAATTTGAGTATTGGATTATTGCATTTTAAAAGTTTGGAGATCAATTTGTCACTCGAGCCAAAGTACAAGATAACAATCGGGAATTTTCCCTTTTTTTATAATAGTATAGATAGAAGTGCAGAAATCGAGCCCAACCTAATTAGGGTTGGATTGGGGCTTCAACCACTTGATTATATTGCCTAACGTTGGCATCAAGCCGACCTAAATAGGCCTGACTTGCACTGCACTTTGGATTTGCTTGGTTATCTATTAGTGAGACAACCTTTGAGCTTGTAAATACATATTGCTACATAAATATAAATATAACATGTTACATATTTGAAAAAGATGCATTCTTGTTGAGGGTTTATCCAACAATGATTGAGTGGGTGGCCTCATATTTCAACCATAATACAGTTTTTTTGACTTAGCTGACAATAACCCATCACCACCACAGGTGAAAAATCCATACAATGAATCAAGATAATTTTCACCAATGCATTACTAGTATATAAATTGAAGTTTAATCAACTATAGAGACCCATCCACCCACTCAATAGATGTATCATGTCATGTGTCCTCGATTCCAAATTTGAGGGGGAAAAACCGTGAAAGCAGATTCTTCATAGTTCATTCCTGTAAGAGTACTGAGATTTCAGATTCTGAATATGAATATGGGGGTATAACTGAATATAATGCTCACCAAATTACTCTCATCACATGTTCATCACCAGACACTCTCCAATCTTGTTATGTGAAACCATACATATGATACTCATGTGCTTGATTCTCCAATTCGTTATTTCTTCCCCGAAAATGAAACTCTGAAATCGTCCGGCCTCCATGGTTTATGAATTTCCGAAAACTTCACCAGCTTGAACCCCGGCTTTAAGTCTGTCAACAACAGCGGGCATCCGCATCCTTGGGCTCTCTGGGGGGTAATACGGAGGCCGTGGCGGCAGCGGAAACAGAAGTGGTGGTGCATGGTAGGGTTGCTGCAGCTGTGAGAGTCCGATTGGTCTTGGTGGTCGGAGAACACACTCAAAGTGAAGATGTACATGACAATATGCACAGCCATAGCGCCAGTAGTTACAGGCAAATCCGCAAATAGAACAGTTGTTAGGTCCCCCAGGTTGCAAGGAGAGGATGTGTTGGGGGTGCACTGCGTGCTTGACAGTAGAAGGTAACTGGGTGCAGATGGGATGAGCATCGAAGTCACACAGAGGGCAAGCATAGAAGATCCCTTGTAGGCTGTCGCGGCAGACATTGCAGAGGCGCCCATTTCCTTGCATCATCAGCCCCTGCGGCTGCCGGAGTAGGCTGAGGGGGTGGTCGGAGTGCATATGGCATGGGAGGGTCATGGGACATGTGGAACAGTAGAGGTGTAAATCGAAGTCGCAACCATGGCAGCGGTAGCGCAGGCCGATGCCCAAGGTTCTGCATCCATTACAACGGAATTCCTGAGGCAAGAATACCTCTACTAGGACATGATCATGGAGGACATGGTGAAGACTCCTCGTTGTCTCCGCTGCCGAACCCATCTCTTTGTCTGGTAAGTAGCTAATCAATGGAAGATCTCTCTGTCTTGAATTATTGATATATATTTATCTGTTCGATGTTGGATCGATGAGATGCGCACCATTGACTCGGTCGACCAGTACCAACATTGGGACACGGAGAGACTTGGCTTGCTAAGTTGACTTGGAAGACTAGAAGTCTAGCATCCCTGCAAGTTGGCAATTGAAATTTCAAAATCATTCACCCGTAGACCTGGCAAGCGGCTTGGGTGCGTCGGGTTCGGGTTGGGCTAAGGTATTTCGGGTTGGGTTGTCAAATGCTAAACCCTAATCCTAAATGTTCGGGTTAGGGTTGATTCATGGGTCAATTCGGGTCATCCCAAAAAATAATTTAAATTTAAAAAAATAAAGAAAAATTATATGAAAAATGTCAAAATTAAAAGAATTAACCTTAAAATTCCAAATATAAAATAAAAGCTTGAACATTTAACAATTTAAAGAGTAAACAATAAAAAGTAAAGACTAAATATAAAAAATTAAAGAGTGGAAACTTCTAACAATGCATAAATAATCCTAATCAGACTTGACAATCGGGTCAGCGGGTTGACCCATGACCCAATCCAACCCAACCCCATTTTCGGGTTAGGTCGGGTCGGGCCGGTCCATTTCGCATTTGGTTTGTTGAATGTGAGACCCTAACCCTACTTTTCAGATTGGATTGGGTTGGGTTTGCGGGTTGGGTCAACTTTTTGCCATGTCTATCCACCCATCAATCGAACATGGGAATTAATGAATTAATCCTCGCGTTCTATAATATTTGGTTTTTTATCTTTACGTTATATGCAAACTTTGGGAGGCCATAAATTTACACATTGTTGATGATTTTGGGTAATTTTTCAAAATCTATGTGTTTGCCCATGTTATTTTCGCTAAAAATGCCTTTTTTGACCTCAAATATTAATTTTTAATGTAAAAAATTGGAAGGGCTCCTCACCTAGAAACCCTCATTGTTCATCTAGGGTTCAGGGTTATATATATATATATAGCGGGGACTTGTGTGATGTACGGAATTTATTAAGCGAAAGCTAAATAATAGAAATGGTCTTTTACTAAAATACCCCTTATAATCTCATGGATTTACTAAAATTTATCTTATAGTTAAAATTTTACTAAAACACCACTTATAATTTGCAATGTATTTAATCAATCTTCCATTAGATGACAATGGAAAATGATAGTGTTGACCCTAACGTTCATTTAAATAAATTTCATCAAAATAAAAATACCATTTTTGCCCTTTATAATACACGAACAATCACTATATTGGCTATATTTGGTTAATTTTGTTTTTGTACAAAAAAAGTGTTAAGGGTATTTTTGGAATAAAAAATCATGGCCTAATGGCAAAATAAACACTCCTTAATGAAAGGTTGATTAAGTAAATAAGTTGTAAAATATATGGGATGTTTTAATAAAATGAAAACTATAAGGTAGGTTTAAGTAAATATGTAAAACAGTAAAACTATAAGATGTGTTATAAAAAATGACCCTAATAAAATCACATAAGAGTATACAATTGTTTTATATTTTCAACTATTTAATTAATTAATAATTATTCATATTTTATATACTACTTTGAATAATTTTTTTATAATACAAAATTAACAATAATTAATTTTAGTTAGATTTATTCATCAAACTGATGAAACCGACCAACCCGATTAACTCGACCCGAGTTGGTCGGCTTTTTAGTATTTTAGGTCGGCTTTGGTTCAAAAATTTCCTAATTCGACCAAGTTGAATCAATTTCACTTTGGCCATTTGTAAACCAACCAAAATCGAACGACCTAACCATGGATATATATTAATATTTTATATTTTAAATATAATTTTTAATATGGAAAAGTGGGAAATTTCTCATATTTCTTATTCTAAAATGTTTTATATCATAAATCTATTTTTTTAATTTATTTTTTAATAATTGCATTATAATTTTTAAAGTTTAATTTAATTTTTAAGTTCAAATCTTTTGAAATGACTGACCAAACCAAAAAATTGACCCAAACTAATACAACTTAAGTGGGTTGGTTTTCACAAAAGGTCAGTCGGTTTCAAATAATCAACTCCCCCAACCTGACCAGGTCAATTTGGTTGACCAAATAGCCTACGATCGAACCAAACTAACTCATGAACACTCATAATTTTAGCTAGATTAATAGTCTCATTTCTGATAAATAACAATACTTTAATCTCCAATAATTATTGAAAAATTATAGCAAAAGTACACAATTATTGAAAATATATTGATAATGAAAAGAGTACAATAAGTATTGAAAATATATCAAAATTAGTCAATAGATAGTATAATCTCAAATAATAGTTTAATCTCTAATAAATATTAATCAATAAGTTATAACAAAAATACAATAAATACAATAAGTACAATAAATTAAATTTAAAAATTTCACTAATAGTAGTTTAATCTCCAATAATTATTGAAAGTTTTCTATTAAAGAACAAAACAAAATAAATTTATACATAATCGCTGAAAATACATTTATCACAAAAACAATAAATATTAATTTTAGTATATATAATTATATAATAAATACATATTAAGAGTTTAAAATTATTATTAATAAATATTAATCTTTTGAAAGTTACTTTTTCAAATTATTACGTGATATAAGTGAAATTAGTTATTTACAATATTATGTAAAAATATTAAATTATTAGTAATTTCAATATTATGTTATAATTATTTTTCTATTTTCAGCAATTTTTTTAAATTCATTACATAATTTATTTATTTTAACTATTTAAAATATTTTTATGTTAAATATTTTGTTATTTAAAATACCTAGTTATTTAAATACTTAAATAAAATGTAAACTATTTAAGTTTTAAAATATTAGTTATTTATGGAATTTAATTATCCATAAAATCATAATTTATACTATTATTACATAATTCCATTATGAATTTGTAATACATTAAATTATTATTAATTTCAATATTATGTTATATTTATTTTACGAATTTAAACAACTTTTGAATTTATTACATAATTTCATTATTTTAACTATTTGAAATATCTAGTTATGATAAATATCTAGTTATTTAAATATTTTAATAATCTATAAAATATTTAAATTTTTTTGTTATTTGAATTTTATTTATTTAAAGCTATTACATATTATTAAATGTTTGAAAAACATTTAAATTGATGATATGGGAAAACATAATTTAAATTGTTAGTACATAATTTCGTGATATATTTTGTCAAAATATAAAATTATTTATTAGATAATTTCATTATTTTAACTATTTAAAATATAGTTATGATAAATATTTAGTTATTTAAATATTTAAATAATCTATAAAATATTTGAATTTTATTTATTTAAAGCTATTACATATTATTAAATATTTAAAACGCATTTAAATTGATAATCTGGAAAAAACATAATTTAAATTGTTAATACATAATTTTTTGATATATTTTGTAAAAATATAAAATTATTTTTTGTGTTTTCAATAAATATTTTTAAGTTATTATATAATTTTGTTAGAATATTTAAATAATTCATAAATTTTCTTAATCCAAACTTTCTTTAGATAGATATAGATAAAAATTAGGGGAGAGGATAAATAGGAATTAGAGATAATTTATGAGAGAAAATCTTTACTAAATTAGAGATAATTGCGGAGATAAATAGGAATTAGAGATGATTTAGAATATAAATAGGAATTAGAGGTAATTCTAGAGAAAGTGGGAGAGGTAGTTTAAGATAAATTTTAGGAGAAGAGATTATTGAGAAAGTGCATCTCATTGATTGTTTCAAAAATGACATGGAATAAAAAAAAACAAAAATGAGAAAATTTCTTGACCAACTATCGCCCTGCCACGTCATCCTAACTCGGCCACGTCGGCATAGCTCGGCCAAGCTACGCTATTACTGTGGCACCCCATCTTATCCTTCCAGCCACGTCAATTACACGTCATATGGATGAGCACAAATACAGATAAAGAGGAATAAGGAAGACGACTCCGCTGGGGAATGGGACTCTATCCCGAATACCTCGGCGGCTAACTTCATTCCGACAACCCCAGAAGCCCAATCTGACCAGGACACGGATCTTCAGCTATAAAAAGGTACTCCGTGCTTGAGGTAAGGGATCCAACTTCTGAGACCTACACCGCTACTTAGCTCGGACCAACATCCTTATAGCTTGGCCCGACCATCCTACCACCTCCTATTGACTTGAGCGTTGGAGTTCTTACCCGGGGATAACTCCTCGGGCTTCTGACTTCTGTTCCCTTGATCACAGGTCTTGAAGCACGGCCTCGTCCTTGTAGCTCGGCCCCGCCCTGCCAGCAAGGACTATCTGGTTGGTCTCCTCAGTTCATGCACCACCTCAGATTGAGCGGCATCAGATTGGCGTTGTCTGTGGGAACGACACAAAAAGCCTTTCCCAAAAATCTCATTCCTCGCCGCGCAATTAAGGAAGCGATTAAGATGCCTAAAAACCAGTCTGAACAATCAGCTGGCCATTCCCCATCTCAGGAGAACCAAGAAGTCCCGTAACCTTTGGACGCAGTAGATCTAGCGCAATTCCGAGCCATGCAGGAAAAGGTTGATAATATCTTCGAATTCATGCAAACACTAGGGTCTGTCGTGCCACCCAACCGGGTTGCCCCCTCTCATGCCCCGACGTGCACGAAGGACAATCCTCGGACCGAGGACCCCAAAGCGCATCGGACAGACATAAGGGGAGAGCGGTCCGAGCGTATAAGGCAAGGCCTAGCCTTGGCATGGTACTCCTCCCTGCCGCTGAGGTCCATAGCGTCATGGGCCCAACTGGAGACCCAATTCTTGGCACAGTTCACGGCCAGTTAGAAGCATTGAAAAACCTCAGCCAGCCTTATGCAGGTCCGACAAAGAAAGGCGGAGTCCCTTAGAGATTACCTGGCAAGGTTCAACAAAGAAGCACTTCAAGTCAGGGACTTGAATCAATCAGTCACGGTGACGGC